GCCTATGAAGGAAGATTTTATTATGGTCCATCTGCAGTATGCATGCACCCACTGTTGCATTCTCATGGTTTCTGGGAACCGCTGGGTTTGCAGCCAGTGCAAAAACTTTCATATTTGTGACAAGTAAGATTTGAAGATCTTCATTGGCATCTTTTAATGTTACTGTGATCTTCTTCCTTTTTTCTTCACGTTGGGTTGTTCTTAATGTTGGCCTTCTGGTGTTTGTTTCGTTTAGCTAATAACCTCATATCTGTTCAACCTCGGCACTATGAATGCTGCTGCTCGCATGTCACTAAATACATTTTCTCACTTGAATGTTGGAAAAAAAAATTCTGTCTCTCTCTCTCCCTCTCTGTCTCTGTCTCTCTCTGTCTCTCTCTCTCGCTCGCTCTCTCGTGCGCCTTATTCTTCTTTCTTTTACCTATAAAAATGGCCAGCGGTCAACTCATAGTAATAAAATTTTTATTTTTCAGATACTGAAATTCATACTATCTAATCTAGTATAGCCACTAGGATACTTTACCCCTTCCCAATATGAGTTATCCTGCATCGTGAAACATGGAGGAAAATGATCTAAGACTTGTCGACAACTTAGGTTAAGCGTATAATATAAACTGATAATTATAATTGTTCTAAGTTCGTATGTTCCTTGATAAGTTTGGTTGATCTTTCTCATCTCCTTTTCTGTATGTGGAGTTAGAGTAATTGAACGATCATTGACTAGTGTACAGGGCAGATGCTCATGGTCTTTGAGAGTTTGTTTCGGGACAGTTTTTAATTAATGTGGAAGTCATCAGGGATTTTTAGGATTTCTCCTGTCCCTATCTCCTTGATGACGCTTTGCTTGGATGCTTTCAATGCGTATCTCCTTTATCATGATCTAAGCCTCATTTTGTTACCTGAAATTGTGGCATTCTTTTTCTTATCCTCCGATTGATCCTGCTTAGCAAGGGAAAATGAAATGACTATGGTTTTCAATGATTTTTTTGCTGTAGGAAGTCTAGTTCTGGCTTGAGACTCTACATAGTGTTCCTGAGTCATCCTTGTTTTGTAGGAAGTCATCTAGTTTTTGTTTGGGACTTAAGAGTTATCTCGAATTCCTAGTCTGTAGTGCATTGATTAAAATCACGGGCTTTAACAATTTTATTTTGCAGGTGCCACGAATTAGAACAGAAACGTGAGGAAAGAGAGCGACATCCCATCAATTTAAGAGAGAAACATACTCTGTTTCCGGTAAGTATGTTATGTGTACCGAATGAGTTATCTACAGTAAGGCAATTCACTATGACTGCGTTGAAAAAGGCTGGTTACGATATGCTGCTGAAAGATCGTTAAATTTTGCAGATTCAAATTACTGATGTACCAGAAGATACAAAAGATAAAGATGAGATACTTGAAAGTGAATTTTTTGACACCAGACAGGCTTTCTTGAGTTTATGTCAAGGGAATCACTATCAATATGACACCCTGAGGCGTGCAAAACACTCTTCAATGATGGTCCTTTACCATCTTCATAATCCAACTGCTCCAGCGTTTGTGACAACATGTAACATATGTAGTCTTGACATTGAAGCTGGTAAGGGTTGGCGTTGCGAGGTTTGCCCAGAGTATGATATATGCAATACCTGTTATCAAAAGGACGGTGGTATTGATCATCCCCACAAATTGACAAATCACCCATCTATGGTTGATCGTGATGCACAAAACAAGGAAGCCAGACAATTAAGAGTTTTGCAGGTGCGTGTTTAAAAATATACTGATATCTTGAGAATTGTCTAGTTTAATTCTGATGAAATGGACTTAAATTCAATTTGCTTGTACATAGTTTAGTGCTGGTTTAATTTGAGCGAAAGGATTAAGGCTTGCTCATTCCTTTTTTGAAAACAAGGGGCTTATTTTTCCTTTTTCGAAAACTACCATCATGAGGTTAGATCAAATTCGATTTATAAAAAGACTAGCATCAAGGAGGCTGGGCATTTTGGTATCTCAGTGAGCTCAACACTTCTCAATTGTCCCATGATAATGAAGCTATTTTTAGCTGTTTTCTTTTTGTTTTATTTTAGGGGGTGGGGGAAGGTGTTGGTTCTTCTCTTTTCTCCATCTCTTATCTTTGTTTGTGTACATGCTTTTTGACTATGCAAAACACAGTTGAAGAAATGGAGAAACCCATGGGAGTTGCATTTATATGAACAATTTTTGAGCTACCTTTTCAAGAAGTCTTTGATTAAGAATTTTAGTCGACATATGTGTGGTCGGTATTAGGTTATTGACAAGAAAAATTTATCTAAATCGCTTCGTATTTTTTGACTAAATCGTTTCATTTTATTTTTGTAAAAAGTTACATATCTTTTACTCATAAAAAATGTCTGAATGTAGAAGACTGGAGCAATAGTCAGTTTTGGTAAAGTGCTTGCAGAAACAAATCTACTGGGAGGATTGCTTTCGCATACAAATTTGATTGCAAGCATGCTCAACTTTGGCTGTCTCTTAGTATTTTGGGGAAGAGAAGAGGAAGGGGACAATAAATTTGAGTGAAAGAGTGCGATTGGGTTGGGTTCAAATGTTTTTGGGTTGGTTTAATTAGATTGGTTTTTCTGTTGTGTTTTGGCTGAGGACCAAAAAAATGAATGACGTTGACAGGAGAACTAATGACTATTCACATAGCAATCAAGTCATTAATATTTTTTCTGCAGAATGCTCATTTTATTTGAATTTTATAGATCAAAAAAAAAACTGAGAAAGGTATCATAACAGGCCAGGGTTTTTCAGCTGTTCATTTATTGAATATTTCAGTCTTTTAAATCCTATGGACACATTTGGAGTGCTCTTTCCTGTCGTTTTGCACAAGTTCCACGCAATCAATCCGTTTGAACTCCTAATCTGGTGGAGTTTAATGCACTCTGTTATTAGGATCATTGGTATTACTTTTTCAAGCTTTTGGATCCGAAGGAATTTTTTCACATGTTTCTGTCTATGTGGAAATGCAGCTTAGGAAAATGCTTGATCTACTCGTGCATGCATCACAATGCCGTTCAGCACTTTGTCAATACCCGAACTGTCGCAAAGTGAAAGGTTTGTTCCGCCATGGGATCCAATGCAAAACACGTGCTTCTAGAGGCTGTGTTCTTTGCAAGAAGATGTGGTATCTCCTGCAACTACATGCACGAGCCTGCAAAGAAGCTGTGTGCCATGTCCCACGATGCAGGTTAGATACCAAGGCTTTCCTTGTGAAGATTTGTTCGAAGCAATCTGTAGTTTGTTTCTTTATTTTCTTTGGAGGAGAGTGTTATATGTTTGGTGATTTCTTGCCCTTATATATTATCATTGTATGTGTTTGTCTTAACCAGAGACTTAAGAGAACATTTGAGGCGGCTGCAGCAGCAGTCAGATTCACGGCGCAGGGCAGCTGTGATGGAGATGATGAGACAGAGAGCTGCGGAAGTTGCCAACAATGGAGGATGACCCATCTGTACATAGGTGAATAATTATTCCGGGAAAGTTTCAGATAAGGAGGCAGGAAATGGGTTCGTGCAGCTTTAAGTATAGTGGATTGCTTGGAGTCAGGCAAATTGGTGGCTGTGTCTGGTTGGAGCAGGGTCTGCTGTTGATGCTGTCACGGTGCCCTGCATGCAGGCTATACAGATCTTTCTTTATTAGAATCTACCAGGAAGAAGACTCGTCCTCCTCAAAATGGCGTCGTCCTCCTCCGGAGGTGCCCTTGACCAGAAGTGATGGGCTAGAAGAGTGCCAATGGGTGCCCCTCGTCACGGGGGTCGCTATGGTAAATTCTTTGATTCGGTCCTCTTAGAAGTGTTGTGTTATCGTGAAGGCCAGGGGCGTCGTGGCGGTGAGTGTACCATAGTTGTTCTGATCCTTCTTTTACTTTGACGGAAGAAAATGTCGAGGAAAGTCGGCTTTACTCCCTCCTCTGTTTTATATTGGCCCCTTTTTTGGTAGGCTGTCTTCTAATAGATAGGGTGGCAAAATAAGGGCGTCGCCAAATCCACAGCAATTCTTTTCATTGTTGTTGATGTATAGTCTTAACTTTTGCTATTTAAGAAACTTCTCTCTCGCGCATATGGAAGAGCCAGAGTATTTGTAGGCGAAGAGCAGCGTGTCGTTGTCTTCGTTGTGTTCGTGCCGTTTCATTTCTTATTTTCGATGTTACAAGGATATCGAGCGTCGAATTAAACAACCAGTCAGGGGGGTCCTCGATTTGTTGGTGCGAGTTCTGAAATAATGTAGGCAGATGGGAACTGGTTTTTATGGAGTGATACTAGCGGGAGGAAATCTGTTCTGCTGTGAAACGCCCTTTGGTCTCTCTGTTGGTTGTGAAGTAGTAGTCATCGTTATCGGTTCGTCTTGCATGATCAAAACTTTGTACGTGTGACAGAGGTCGGGGTGTACCGATCGTGCCGTCTTTGCATTCCGATTGAATTTGCATCCCGGGTGAAAGGACCCGTTGCCGTGATTGCCGCGATTTGAGACGGTTGCATCTGATCATGTTCTGAAGAAAGTCTTTGAGGGTGACAAATTGGCGATAGCCGTTAGGGTCGGCGATGTTGGGTACCAATTCATTCAATGGTGAGGATTCGGGATGCGGTACACGAGATTCAGACGACTCCTCCCGACGAAGATCAAGAGTATGTGACCGGGACAAACATGAGTTAAACCTTCGTAACGCGAATGCTCGAGCTTCGGCTTTCTCTTGGCCTCGTGGGTCGGTCCGTCGTCCTCCCATCGTTCCGCCCATGGCTGTGTTGCTCGTTTGCAGGCATTGATTATTGCTAATTATTTTGCAAATTCAATCACTCATATTCGTCATATATCAAAAGATAATGTTTTGAGAGCCTCACAAAAACTTGGGTATAATTTCATTTTCATCTTTTTTATTTATTATTTTTTTGTAGTTTGCAAAAAGATGAGTCATCATTATCCACGAGATTTCGTAGTCCTTACGTACAAAAACAAAAAGGAATATCCGAAGAAGAAGAAGAAGAAGAGAGGAGCGGGTCCACGTGGCGCGATTCTGCATGTTTCCCAGCCAAACACACACACAGACATTTCTGTGGCCTTCGTCGCGCTTCCAATTCACGCTTGTTTACCGCAGCGTGACACGTCGCCTCCTCCTTCTCCTTCTTACATTTACATCGTCGGCGTCGTCGTCGTCAACAACAACAACCGCTGTTCGCGCGGGTACGACGACGGCGATAATGTCGGGCGCAAGCAGCTTCGTCCGGTTCAAGTCGGAATTCCTCGGCATCGCTTCCCTCCCCAAGCCCAACTCCCCCGGCAATGCCCGAGCCAGAGCCAAGCTCGTCGCCTCAACCAGAGCTTCCGGTTCCGGTTCCGGCGGCGGCGATCGCGGCGGCGACCCGAAGAAGGCCGCGGTGAAGAAGGCGAAGGCGAGCGGGGCTCCAGCTCAGCCGCAGCAGCAGCAGCAGCAGGTGTCGATAGTGGACCCGGTGGGCCTGGGCCGGCGGTCGCGGCAGATGTTCGACGAGGTCTGGCGCAAGTTCTCCGGCCTCGGACAGATCTCCCGCACCTCCCTCTCCGACGGCGACGGCGACGCCGCCCTCCTCCTCCGCGAGTTCGCCATCCCTGCCGCCCAGTCCACCACCGTCCTCGTCGTCGGCGCCACCAGCCGCATCGGGCGCATCCTCGTCCGCAAGCTCATGCTCCGCGGCTACTCCGTCAAGGCCCTCGTCCGCAGGCCCGACGAGCTCCCCCCCGACGCCCTCCCCCGCTCCGTCGAGGTCGTCGCCGGCGACGTCGGCGACCCCGCCTCCCTCAAGGCCGCCGTCCAGGGGTGCCAGAAGATCATCTACTGCGCCACCGCCCGCTCCGCCATCACCGGCGACCTCTTCAGGGTCGACCACCGCGGCGTCTACAACCTCACCAAGTCCTTCCAGGACCACAACAACCGGCACGCCCAGCTCGGCGCAGGCCGCAGCAGCAAGAGCAAGCTCCTCCTCGCCAAGTTCAAGTCCCCCGAATCTCTCCAGGGATGGCAGGTTCGTCGGGGGACCTACTTCCAGGACGTGCTCGCCACCAAGTACGACGCCGGCATGGACGCCAAGTTCGAATTCACCGAGACAGGGCAGGCCGTTTTCTCAGGTGAATTGGAGTTCTTTAAACTTTCATCAGTTAATGAAGGTTCATTTCTCATTTAACTCTATGTTTCAGGGTATGTTTTCACTAGAGGAGGCTATGTCGAGCTGTCGAAAAAGATCTCGCTTCCTTTGGATCGCACTCTTGATCGATATGAAGGTCTAGTCCTCTCTGTTGGCGGCAACGGAAGATCGTACGTGTTAATTCTTGAAGCGGGTCCTTCGGCCGATACGACTCAGAGCAAGCTATACTTTGCGAGAATCAGCACCAAAGTTGGATTTTGCAGGGTATGCACGCCTCCTTTTTTATGATGAACTCTGTTTCCGTCAATTTGTTTGCGCTTCCACAATGTTTGCTCTTTTCTGTGCTTTTAGTTGTCAGACTCTTCTTTCCTGTCTGCTCACTGGTATATAAGCTGACAGGTGAGAGTACCATTTTCATCCTTCCGTCCAGTGAAACCGGATGATCCTCCATTCGACCCGTTCCTGGTGCATACATTAACGATTCGATTTGAGCCCCGAAGACAGGTCTATCCCCGAACTTTTCTTTTTAGCCAAGGTCTATCCCTTACTGATTGATAGAATAGAGTAGTCTTCCACTTTCAACCATTGCTTTGTCTTGACCACTCTGGACTGTAGTTGTTGGATTACCTAGTTTCAACATTCTACTATCTAGGTAGGTGAAGCCTGCATTATGCTATATTTTGTGTGAGGCAGCGCATGTAGGATCTTTATTAATCGTGTCCTCTGTCTCTGCCACTTTAAACCATCGTAAGATAATTCCCTTCACAAGTTTTTCCTACGGTTTGGATTTCATTGAAGTGCTGGACAGTTGTTCAAAATTTGGATCTTAGAAATCCTAGTGTGCCCGATCAAATCTGGTGGTGAAAACTCATTAGCTCGTCCAGTAATCAATCAGAATACACGCTGTCAGTTCTATTTAGCAAACGGCGCCTGTGATGTGATTGAGAATCGCTAAACAATGTACTTTTGTATAAAAAAAACTTCCCTAGTTTTTTTGCGTCAATGCTTTTCGTATGGGTATAGCGCTTTTTTTAAATTTCCTGACATGAGCCAAAGGATTAATGCTGCCAATACTTGGCTTATCTTTGTCCTGCAGAGACCCATAGAAGGACCTTCAGGTACTATGCAGGACTTAAGAAGCTTTAAGCTTATTCTGGAATATATAAAGGCCTTGCCTGTAAGTTCGTTATGTTTTCTGGTTGCATAAGAAACTGTTAAAATATTCATCGAAATCATTTGAATAGATTTTGGTCGTCTGAATTTAAAATACTTGTTATGTTAGAGAAAGGAAGATGATGAGGGTCTGCAGAATTGCAGTTTTCCAAAAAAGCAATACCATTATGCCAGATTTATCCACTATTACGCTGCTTTCCTGAGTTGTGACTGAAGATGTTCTGTAGCAAAGCCTTTGGATATGTCTGTAGTACAATGAAACTGAGGAATGTTTAATTAACTGGCAAATGATAAAGCTTGTGGATTATTTTGCTAAACCCCACTGTCTTTTGGCGTCTATTAACCATTTCATGTTTACTTACGTGCAGACGGGGCAAGAAACAGACTTCGTGTTAGTTTCGTGTACGGGACTTGGAATTGAGCCTTCTAGAAGAGAGCAAGTTCTGAAAGCCAAGAGGGTTAGCCCTTTCAGATTTTCTTACTTCTATGTGGAATTCTATTGTCGAACTTGTTAACTCATGATTCCTGTTTTCATGTCCAGGCTGGAGAAGATTATTTGAGAAGGTCAGGGCTTGGTTATACAATTATTCGCCCTGGTCCCCTAATGGTAACACTCAAAACAGATTTTCGTTTCAAACTTGGTAGTGAATGTATTCCAGTGGATCCTCTGTTCCTGTAGTGCGTAGATGGACTTTTGGAGATCAAGGATGATCCTTGTATCCTGCTTGGCTAAATGTTTCTGCTTTATTCTCAAGGAAACTTTGTTGATAGATTTTTTTCGCAGAAAGTTTCCAAGTACAACACACACCTTTTTCTTACCTGGGTGGTTATTAAAATTTTTATGGCCGTTTTTGTGAAATTCATAGTGATTATTGCAGGAGGAACCCGGCGGTCAACGTGCTCTCATATTTGATCAAGGAAACCGGATTTCTCAGGTGAAGATCATCAATCTTCCTGCATGTAGATAGTGTTAAAATTTTTCATGGTTGTCCTTGATTTTGATCTATTTTCTGTTTGTGAAAACACAAGCTGTGATTGTAAGTTATAGACAAGGGAATAGTTGAGATTTTATCAGGTTTATCTTCTAATGCAGGGAATCAGCTGTGCGGATGTGGCTGATATCTGTGTGAAAGCGTTGCATGACTCAACAGCAAGAAACAAGAGCTTTGATGTGGGTTACACTCTCTTATTGCTACTAATTGTGATTTGGGGTAGTGTAGACAAGTGATTTTGTTTGATTGTTCAGGTATGCCATGAATATGTTGCAGAGCAAGGGAGGGAGCTCTATGAACTGGTAAAGACCATCGGGTTGTTTCTTTTCGTTTCCACATGTCTAGATATGCTGTATGGGGAGTGATAATGTCTTGAATCTCCTTTGTGTAGGTGGCACACTTGCCCGATAAAGCAAATAATTACTTGACGCCAGCCCTGTCAGTCCTAGAAAAGAATACCTGAAATTGTTGAAGAATTCATCTCCCTACTGGACATGTGAATCTGGGCAGTAAAATTGATCTTAACTGTCCTGTGAATATATGCTGTTACAATATCTAATTGTTCTGCTTGCCCTTTTTTCACAGGCTAGTGTCTTTTGACAATCCCTGTGTATATTGGTGACTTGTATGTACTTAAGTTTACAGAGTACAGTCTGGAAGAGGCTGAATTGGCCAACTATATGAGATCCTTGTCAGAAATTACACGTGGAATTTAAAAGGAATTCGACTTCTTGCTTGAAGAGTGGTGATGTCTACCACGGGGGCTCGATACATATCTTTACGCACTTTTTTGCTGATTATGATTGTTGGTCCGGTATAAAATTCTCATTTTGTCAAGACACTGAGGACATTCAGGGGTAGCTCTACCTCGTGTATTTCCCATGTGATGTACATAAGTCATTCATGTTCCCTATCGCAGCCTCTTCTGTAATTCCTATAAAATGGGTGTGTCATATGATGGTTTGAGAGTTATATACAGGGAACGATAGTTGGTCTCTTCCTATTATTTGTAATGCCCGGAAGCTCCAGGGAATTGTGATAATGTGGTCCATGTGTTTGCTGGTCTCATTGTTTATCTGAGCACAGCCTATTCTTGAGCAAGCAAATGCACAGTTCAATCTGGGCACATCCTACTGTGTCTCTTGACGCTCTTCCCAACCCTCAGCCGCAGCAAGGAATCCTCTAAACCACTGCTGTCTTTATGAAGTACTTCCCGTCAGACCTGGTGAGATTCGTGATGGTTTTGACAGCAGTCTTGAGGGCCTCTGAGCCCGAGTTAGAACCTAGATTTTTGCTATTAAAGAGGTTAGAAGCGAGGTGATCAGCTTTGTCCAAACAGCTCTTGAAGCCAAAACTCGAACAATGTGCATTTTCGGTGAATTGGATATCCGAACGGGAATTTTCAGCTAATAATGCGAGGCGTGACAAGCTAAAATTTGAAAGTTCCGTGCTTCAGATTGATCACTCATACCTCCTCCAGGGAAGCTAATCGGCTTTCATGTCTATTTTGACGGGACAAACACGAAGAAGTTGTACATATCGCCCCTCCACCTGCACTGCTACGTGTAACTGCACGAAGAGCGAATGAGAACAGGGAAGGAATGACAGAAGAGCCCAAGAAGTCATGCTACTGACAGATCATCCTGGGCCATGTATGGTGACACGTAGATCATATCAGACCGGGGGAGAGATTGTTGGTTACTTGGTTAGCTTTGCATTTTGTGGTGGAGGTGATAAGGAGAAGGCAGAGAAATAGAAAACTCAAAGAGAAAACTGCCAGACTTTGGATGGGATTGGACCAGAAAAAATGAGCGAGGCCTCGTCTTTGTGAGGCAAACTCAGAGACACAGAGGAGAGAGGATAATGATAGTACCAGTTCATTGCTCCAAGCCTGGTAGTCCAGCTTCTGCAGCTGCTGCTTCTGCTCTTGTACGTGCACCCTCATTCTCAAGGCGCATTGCTGACATCCGCATCCCCACAAAAGCCAGACAGGTAGCAACTGGCTGGCTCTTGGCTGTGGCTCTCATAACTTGGCCCGCGGCTGCGGGCGTGGCTGAGGTGGTTCCGCAGCCGTCGGAGTCGGATACACTGTCGAATGTGCCTCAGATGCTGTCGGGCGAGTGCAAGTCTCCCAAGGACTGCAAGAAGCCCAGGATACAGAGGCCCAAATCGAGAAAGGCAGAGTCGTGCACCACCAAGTGCGTCACCACCTGCATCCGCGGTGGCGATGGCTCTCCTGGCGAAGGCCCCCTCAACATTCGCAGGTTGCTAGTTTTCTTTTGTTACTGCACCGGTCATATGATATGCGTCATACATACACCTCATTGCCACCAACCGGCCACATACCACCTATCTTTGCATTTGAGAGAACAAGGCCCTCCAATCTGTACGTTCCAGAGGGGTTTTTCTTTTTCCTTAATTTTCTGTTTCCTTTTTGGCAGACCTCTGGTGGTTTTCAAGCAAGGCTTTCGCAGCAGGAAATACTGGTAATATACTATTCATTCCCTCTCTCCACCTCATCTCAGGATCAGCACTTAACCATGCCATTGTATATTTCCCTCTCCTATATTAGCATGCTTCTTCATGATGGATAGAGTTTAATTTAGCTTTTGACGTCTGTGCAGTCTGGTCGAGTGCTCAGATATTTGTAATTTGATTGGAGATGAGGATTATGGTCCTTGACAATGATCTAACCACAAACTGGTAAGACTACAGTGGAACCTCACTCATCATCTGTTCTTCATACACATTGAATGAAATCAGAGCCATTATTTTCTCGTGATTTCCATCATGCCAGCTATTTGATAGTTAGAATAGAACACCAATGAATCTTTCATTGAGTTCTGGCCCCCAATTGTCATCGAGCTTCTCTTTACAGCTCAATTTTTGCTACATGCAGTCTCTTAGGTTAATTACATCATGTGTGGACCATTCGTTAAATACCAACTATGTGGATTATCTTTCGGAGTTGGATTTTTAATAGAGGGGAACCATGCTGACTCCAGTACTAGAGAGAGCGATTAGCACGATGTCTCTATGATTTGTGAGATCATCGTAGTAATCCTATGATATCGGTGATTGTGTTGAGGAGAATGATGTATGCTTCATACTCTTCACCTATTCTCCCTAACATTACTAAGAATAGAAGTAATAGTGCATTTGAGGATTTAAGCTTTTTTTCGTGCGCATAAGATTTTATCATGTGCATTTAAGTGTAGGTAATGGATGTTCTCCCTGAGACTTAAGAATTTCTTCCGTACTATATACTTTTCAATTACAAACATTTTGATGTTCCTGTGCATGCTGTCTAATCTCTCACTTCCCAGATTGAAGTTTCGGCCGGTTCCAACCCCTGCTCTTCGGAAGGTTTGCTGGGCAAGCTGTATAGGTTTTTCTGACTTCCGAGTGGAAGCACCAACTACAGGACTTCTTTCGACAAGAAACAGGTGCTCCCGTGTGTACTCTTCACAGACCTTTCCTCTTGTCCCAAGGTTACAATTCAAACACAGATGAAATATTAATCTCGAGGTTTGCTCGGGCAGTGTGCACACCACTTATTCACCATGATTCTCCCTGTTACTCTGTGGAACAGTATGCTAGTCGGAAAATTCTCACTCTTTCTTTTCCTACTAGCTTTCTGTGAACTTACCGAAATGGGAAAATACAGAAGTTTTGGGCCTAGAATGTTTAAGCCATCGTTCATTTCTCCTTCATTAAGTCGGAAAATTTTCTTCGAAGGTCTGAAGCTGGAAGTTTGGTCAGCAAATGCGAATGGTTGGTGCTCAGCGAACAATCATCTAAGTTTTTGTGGGAATAATCCTAATTCGTTAGTGCCATACTGCTAAATAGTTGTGAAGACGAGTGTAGAAAAGAGGAGAAAGCCATACTGTGGCCTAAGCATCAAGAAATAGGAACCTGTTGCCACATATTATTGGCATTACATATCAAAGAGGACTTGAATCTGCTTGTGGGTTGAGTACATTCCCGTGGTACCAATAGTGTTAGTTGTCGTGTACTAATGATAAAATGAAGACAATGCCAGATACTGGGCTTCTACACCAAACTTTCGGTCCATACATTTATGGCTTTTCAAGTTGGTTGCGCAAAAGTACTAGAGCTCAGGCAACTTTGACATTAGCAAAGCTTCTCACTTAGTGTTTGGAATCACCGTTTCCGTTAGTGAGATTACCAACCTAACCTTTCCGTTTTCTTTCGTGCGTAGAGTTCAAACAACGGAAGAGAGGGAAAGGTGAGTTGCCTGAGAATACATTTTGAGAATTCTTGTCCCTGATAGCAAATGTATGTGGAATAAATGACCAACCTTATGACACATTCTTTCATGGGAAGTTTCAAAGATCCTGCAGTCACTCACTTAAGCTCAAGGGTAATGCTTGTGTTAGGGAACAGTCCAAATAACAAGCACGATTTTTCACAATGCAGGATAAGCATCAATGCTTAAGTAGTGTTAACAGTTAGTCCCATGATCACCTCTTAGAAGTGTAAAGACACCTGTGACCATTACTAGCATACCAATTAGTGACTTTGTTTCATTATTTTAAGCGACGACACTGCAGTAATTCGGCAAATAAGCAACCTCTCATCGTCTCACCCTCACTACTCATTTATTGGCTTCACTACCATTCCAATATGAACATTGTCATTATGTTTTCCCAGTATCAGCGGGAAAAATGGTTTGAACATCTTATTTAACAATTGTCGGTCAGAGTTTCTCTAACAGAATGTACATCATCAAAGACTACGGCAGGGCTTCAAGAGCAAAGACCAAAACTGCACGGGCTGCAGCCATCTTGTGATATACAAGACGAAATGATACAGAGCCTCCTCGAAGGCATTGTTGCCACGACCTTACCAATCTTGCCAAGGCTAGCCAAAGTAACTATGAACAAGCATTGTCAAAATGGATTTTCTCAGGCAGGAATAGGTAACGGAAGCGGGAGTCGAAGGTAAGAATTCCACAATTGCGAGAACCAAGAAGGCTTTGACGCCTTTGTGACATGCACCGCTCCACAAAGGCCGCCTGATGGGGGGGGAGGTAGTGTGATATCCATACAGCTAAGTTAGTATCGTCCACGAATCCCTTGGCAAAGCAATGTAGCATCTTTGGCACCAATAACCTCCCTTTGCTGCTAACCCCAACTGAAGCTCTGATGAAATCTCGTTGTGCTTCCTGTAGCTCATCCCTCACATTCTTGGCAGTGTAGATCCGAACCTGAATTTGTTTCTTTAAGTATGGTATAATATTTTCTCTTTAAAGTCAAACATCACCTAGGGAAAAATTCAAGATCTTACCGCAGGAGATGAGTACATTCCGCAGCTGAGAGCAAATGCTACAAGCGGTTCAGACACATCGACAGCAAACTTTTGTTGCTCTTCAGATACCTTTAGCTTGTTAAGAGCGAGGAGCAAAGCCTGAATATTATCAATGGGAATGACAGTCAGAAAATCATAGGCAAGAACTTCCAATAAGCAATGACACATCATATCCAAGGCAGGACCGTACAATCTGTGGCCTATGGAGAGGTGGTTTCATCTTCAAAATTCCATACTCAATAACTGCTGCACTGAAAGAATGGCCTCCCACAGTATATGCTGCCTGCAGGAAAGATGATTAATGTACGATTTTCATATTTTCGCTAGCATCATTCAACATTATGCAGCATTTTTTAGCACTTCCAATACTTGATGACCGAGTAGACCTGGCCTTGCTGCAAACATCTACACACGGTGCTATCATGTAAGTCAATTGACCATGGCTGATGCTCACCGGACATCAATAACCACCATCCACTAAAGACGAATAGGTCATCTATCTAAACACAATACAAGAATAATTTATCAGTCAAAATAATACAATCTTCCTGGACAAGCGAAAACCTTCCTTAGGCATCAAATTGAGGACAGGCGTTCAACCTCATTTTACATTGTTCCCAACTTCCAACTGTTCCTCAAAAAATTTTCTAGTCAGCCGCCAATTTGCATGCTATCATTGTATTATCTTATTTTATGGCTACGAGCACCACTCCAAAATAACTAAGAAAGGGATGACAAATATATGATCCCACTACTAATTCTACTCTGTCGTTTGATCTCATACAAAAAACTAACACCAACCATATCACCTTCACACCAGCCCAGAATTGCAGGTCCTCCATGCCATGTAGGAAAAAAAACTAAAAGATGAAAGAAAACCCTCTATAATAAATAATAATGAACTACCGAGAGTAGAGGGAGAAAAGTAAAAAACTCAACAATTGGAACAAGCAGAAGAAAGATGGAGTTTCATTCAGCTGTAGATATTTGTATACTCTGCATAAACAAAGCTTCCACTTATAACTAGGACACAGAATTGGTGACTGGAGGTAACCTAAATTGTTTCTGTACTTGGTTATTCAGCCATAAACTTGGAAGTCACGAAACTACCGATAGCTCCAAGCAATACCGACAATTTCTTTAGTCATGCCTTTCATCTGATTCTTCATCTTTGATGTAGGCTAATCTATCAAATTTCACATTGTTATTGATCTTATTTTCTCTTTTATATTCAAAACCAAAGCACACATGCAACCTAAAAGCTGCCAGTAGGAATAACTTTCCAGCCATGTATACTGTAAGCAGAAAATTGGCTCAAAAGTTATGTCAGCATCTGCTCCCGTCACTCACCATGTGCCACCTAAAAGGGTTCTTGAACTGACAATTTGACTTCTCATGAGACAGCTGTCTGTTATCGCCCAACGAGGGTAACGCACACATCATGGTTCGTGAAAGGCATGTAAAACACGCATTCTCCCTTATGGCACAACATATTGGTCCAGGAAAATGAAAAAGCAATTTCCTTGATCATGATATTCATAAGAGATCACACAAGTTGAGAGACCATGAGAAGAAAATAAATCTAGAAAGGATAGATACAAACCTTCTGCATCAACGAGAACAGCTTCATATCACTCTTTGGAACCCCATAAGCCAAGTAAGCCTGCTTAAAGTCAAAATCTTAGAAAATCATCTCTGTACATGTGGATGGAAGGGTGAGTGTGCGTGTTCCGTGGATGTAGATGTGGATTTAGCTGTTTGTCTAAACATTGTTTTATGTCTTTACGTGGAAAACAAAAGTCTTCTTCACAAATTTCTAAACTCTGTTTGCCAGTATATTCTTTATATTAGCAACAATCTCCGTGCAATGCATGGGCCGGAATTCCTATGAGGCTAAATTATGTTTCCCCCTTTATTTTCTTGTTTATATACTTTTAAGTATTGCTTGTCGCTGAGACAGAATGTGAAGTTTTTCTTGTTCAAAAAGTTATGGGTTTCACATTGCTTTTGCCCATCCATAATTTCATAGTTCACAGGTACTTGATAATGCTAAGTTTTTTAAGAGTGTACAATTAACTAACGAGAAACAGGGGAAGAAAACTATGAGAAAACAGGCCAAGAACCAGGTGTCACCATCCCATATATCCTACTTGAAAAGCACTGTCTAAACTATAGTAGCACAGCAACTAGACACCTGCCAAACTGAGGATACAACATAAGCAAGATATTCCACGGTTTGATGGAAATCAATCACCTACATGCATGATCATTGCATTGTATAAGTTGATCCAGAAGGCAAGTTTGTCGTTGCTGCTCAGGTGGATTGGGTTGACCTTGGCAAGCTGCTCAACAAGTGTCCTGTTCACATTTATAGATCTACAATGATCAGTAAGCTCCAAACATGTAAAAAATCTGATAGATCAAGAGAACTGTTTCCTGTTTTCTTGTACGCAGTGGCTGAACTATATGATAAATGCAAGAGACAATCACCTATGAAGACGATCTTATCTACCAACAGCTAAAGAAAGCATGACTGTTGATTACCGTACAATGAGCAAACCACTCATAATTTCAGCCAAATGCACACATTTGTGCGCATGCAAATCCTCCACAATGCAACATGACATCAACTTCCATCTGTTAGGTTAAAAGTTCATTCTGGAGCCTTCTACCTATCAGGTCACATCTCCTTTGCAGAAAATTTGTCTACATAACCAAAACCAAAGATAACATCCCGACAGCAATAGTCCGTTTATATTGAATTTAGGACAAATAGCTGACAAAGAACATAAACCACGCTAGGAGCCAAAAGAAGTGTTCCCTTCTAGTATGACCATAAACTAGATCTTATATAAAGATAGTTAAATTGGTATCGTATTAGATCAAGACTAACCTAAACTTCCTCAAAGCTCCAGAGGCATATTCCAATTGCTTTTTCCCAACAGACATCCAAGAAACTTCGGATGCCTGCCCATAATTTCCTACATCTCCCCAACTTAGCTTCCCGCGTACTCGGTATGGATCACAAGCATTATCTGAGGCCAGCACGTCCAAGTTACTCTGTACATCAACTTGGGGGCTTTGCACCCAGGATGAAATGACTGAGCGTTCAGATGATGACCACCACGATGAGTTGGAAAGATGCCCATGTGGAGACAAAGGTGAGAGGTGGCCCTGTGATGTAGAGAACTGGCACGACGACGCAGAATCTGCCAGTGAGATAAATATATTCTTCATACATCTGACCATCTCTTCAGACAGTAGGTTGGGATAATCCCAAAGGCCCTTAGGTGGCAATTCCCTGGGTAGCTTCCTACTATCTTGAGTTTGACCATATTTTGCATCGGACCCTATGTTATCGCAGAGAGGTGCAGAGGAGCCATCCTCGTCCTGATGCGAGGAAATGTCATATGTACAAAGTCAAGTACCACCACCAAAAACTTATGCAATCAAATAATGCATATGCATGTCTTCAAAAATCTTACAGAGAATTAGGACGCTTTATGATGTTGGGACATATGGCAATTCAAATATAACTCATTGTCGAATGATGTCATGTCTATGTTCACATAAGTGTCTGGGTTCAATACACATGACCTGCATATAATTAGACATCCTATGAAGATAAGTGACTTTCAGATGCCTAATGCAAAGATCGCAACCACCCAACTCCACACAAAGTTTCTTTCCACTTCTTAATCAGCACTTACTTTATTATCAAGGATGACTTCCATAAGCACTTTCTATCTGATGCGTACGTCAACAAATAAACCAAAGCTAACGACAATTAAAAATGAGAAGAGAACTCCAAAACGAAAATTAAAGGATTTGTGACAATTGGGAGCAAGTAGATTTAACTGAAAGTATGTGAATTACCAGCACTTGCAAAATGCTCGAGGAACAAAGAGACTTCTCCTCCAAGGAAGAGTGCCTCAGACGGTATTCAGCCAGCCTCCGTTCATTTCTTTCTTGACTTAGTTGGAAATGTAAAGAGACTATCTCATGTTCGAGTTTGGAAACTGCGAGTTCCAACATCGCAATATTGGAAAGGAGTTCCTGAGCCTGTACATAAGGAAGGATTTTACCAATATTAAGGCCTGGATCAGAAACAGAATTAAAACATCAGCAAAGCCCACCGACAAAATGCAATCTGCTATGTCGTGTTTCCGTTTGTGAAACAAGATAAATTATTCCGTAGTCCTTATACTGAATAAGTAAACCATCATTCATCAATTGTAAGGAAGATTTGATCCCTCGAGAGCTCATCTCTCCCTCTACACAATCAAAAAATTGCAGATGGCCAGATGAGACCACTGTTTTCCCTAAAACCTTTAAATGTCAATAAACGGACCCAAATTGGATATCTAGCATTGCTAACAGTTAAAAGAGGAGACAAATTATTGGGAAATTGTCAGAATAACAATAAAAGTAAAGATTCAAACTCTTAACATGTGCTCTGATGTCATGTGAGACACCTATTGTTCCCAAAAGCTTAAGCTGTCAAGAAGCAGACAATCATATTTAGCATGATTCTTCACAAGCCAACGAGATTTGTTCTTTGTAAAGCAAGGTTCTGTGGGAAGGCAGCATTCCTTATTTTTAGTTAACAACAAACAAATAGTTCCTTGACTTTGGCTTAGTAATAGTTGAATCGTCTGAAACTACATATCTTGTGCATCTGTTCCATGAAGGCAAACAGATTTGAACGCACAGAAAAAAACTATTTTCCAGAACCATAAACTAACAGAAAAATGCAAAAAAGTATGTAGATCGCGTCGTTGAACTCCCTAATAAATATTGGCTCTCATAACTTAACAGATTACCCTTGGATCTCAAAATGGGAATAATATCACATAACAATAAAAATAAAACTAGACAGGGGTGTTGAAATGTAAAAACCAACATTTCTCCAGTTTGTATCTGATGCTGACATACACAGGAGTGATCAAAATGAGGTAAAATTTTTCCTCTGAAAGTTACTTGAAGGAGCACGATGGCATGGATACTATCATCCACAAGATACCAAAAACTATATCCCCAAAGAATAAATGGAATAGGTACTTAACCTGATGAGGAAGACATGAAGGTTTTGATAATTTTACAGCACTTCTCTCGATTGCTTGTTCCAAAACTGCATGCAGTTCTATCTCTTCTCGTAGCTGCTCTTGAAGTTTCAGTACCTGCAGCAACCAAATTCCATTACATAACCATTAGAATGGTCACGACACCTGTGTCTGGGAGATATGGAGAAGCTCAAGTCAATAGAACAGCCATATGCATTTAAGATGATGGCCATCTTCTGTCCTGAAATACTAGGCAATCTAAGGAAAGTTGAACAAAAGCCGAAATGAAAAAAAGAAAATTAGGTAATTTTCAAAGGCTTCTTGTAGTTCTGAAATCAACCGTTCATTTATCTCAAATATAGTCATCAAAAAGAGGATGAATATAAACTGCAAAAGAGCTGCTGCTAATTACAGTTTAAAAAGAGAATATGGTGCATGAGTAACTCTGCAACCAATATAAAAATGGTCATCTCCAACATAGTTCCGCACAGGATATGTCAGATATAGTAAGCTATGGGGAGTGTTGAGATAATGCACCTCTCACATAGAAAGATGATGCCTCCTTATTTTTACTCTCATAATTATACTCAACCTACCAAACAAAACTCAGCATCTCAAGTACATGCAGAGAGATATACATAATTTTATAATCTATATCCACCAAATGAATCACAAACTGACATCGGAAATCCTAAATTTGGTCAAGATGGCAACAACCAAAGTTACTGACTCTGACCAACAGCCACCTAGAATGCAAGGGAAATGGAAGGAACCAACTATATTTGCTCAAAGCCTTGAGCATATAGCAGATTGTCAAGAATGCATATGTCAGTGAGAAAAGAACTTACATCCAGCTCAAGTTGGAATCTGTAAGGGCAGGTACCGTTTCTTCCGGTAGATAATCCAGGACGTCCGGTTTCATTATCAGAATCTCCAACCTTCAGAATCAACACAGCGGTAAGATTGCAAATGCAAATGTAAATATTAGAAGGAAGACAAATTCCGACCAACGCAAAAATTGTACATTTAACAAGGAACCGTCATCTCTCTGAAGATGGAGCTTATCCAATGAAGTTTCCGAAATCCAACCAACTGTGCCAGAATGAGAGCATTCGGAGAGAGAATGGCTTCTGTAATTAAAGAAATTCCAGAAACGGATCTCAGCGACATAAAAAAACCAGAAGCATCCATAAAGAGGGGGGAAAGAGGAAAATAAGATATCTCCATTACTGATTTTGCGAACAACCGAGGGACGGTGAGTCACACATCCTGTAAGCCGGGAGTTTGGCCACTATGCCATAAAGTACATAAGAAGTATCTTGGAACACATTCGCAGATCATCGCTGTGCATCATCGTCGACCCAAGAGAAACCTGAGAAACCTGCAATCCTACCGGACAGTCAAATAACTAAACTTTTGCATTCTTTACCCAATTTATAATGCAAGAAATCTATCATAAATTTGTGGGAGAGACATTTTTAGAAATAATATTGCAGTTATGGGAGGAAGGTGCTGTGACACCTGTGAACCAAGCAATAAAATCAGTCAAGCTCGTCATGAATGCAAAACTACCAATCACTTTCAACACGACCTAAAAAGTTGTTTTTACAGCAACCATTCAAATGTACCCCAAAATTTCTGCTTCAAAGCGCAACATTCACAAAGGAACTAAAAAAGGAAGGTACAAAGGGGGGAATGACTTGATGCAGGAGGATCTCAAATTTAGGGGACCATTTTTCACTTTGATGAAGATCACACTAAACAGTCTATGCATGAAGTGAAACAAAAGAATCATAGGACTGTCGAGTGCATAAAAAAAGTAGAATATATAAAAAGAATGGAACTTTGTTTACCCACTCAAAGACTGGGCAGAACGAACACGAGGCAACGACCCCCAAAAAGATCTCACAGAAAATGCAAGTAGGAAGTTCAATGACTCGGGCATTAAATTATTGAGCAAATCAAGAGACAAAAGAAGAAGAGGAAGATATCAGGCAAAGAGAAAGGAAATGATTTTGCTTTTGTCAAGATCTCCGGCCAATCACAGGAGAGGATTGTGAGCCAAACAGCTCGAAGCAAGTAAAAGAAAGACGAAAGAAACAAAGGTAATTGGAGCTAAAAGCTAGCGACAGCACGACACCAATGTAGAACCACGAGACAAGAGAAAATAGAATAGGAGGAGGAAGTAGACAACAATCCAAAGCAGGGATCTTCAGCGAGTGGTCCATGGCTGCCGAAAACCATCAGCATCCCCACTCTTGATCCGTCACTATCAGCAACAGCATCAGCATCCCACTTCTATTTGAATATACATTCTGATTCGAGTCGTAAAAAAGGAACCCGACCCAACACGTGATGTGGGTCGTTCTCCTTTCGGAAGATTAAAAAGACAAAAATTTTCATTCGAGAGAGGTACTGTCGCCAAGCTTTTTCCGTGCAAGAAAGAAAGAAAGAAAAGGGAGAGACCTTTCTGAGGCAAATGCTCCGGCGCGAGGAAGAAGAAGAAGAAGAAGATGGATCTTCAGTTCTCTGACAAGACGCGAAAGGAGTAATGGAAAATGCAGCAGCCCAGAAACCATCAAAAGTAGTTTCCCTCCGCTCAAAACACGGCTCGAATGCTCCTGGTTCCACCGGGATGCTGCGCTGCCGCTATTCCTCTCTCTCTCTCTCTCTCTCTCTCTCTCTCTCTAGGCCAGTTCAAATCCAAGTCAAAAGCTTCGTTAGCTCTGCGCTCGGTCGTCGGGCGCCACCAGAAAAGGACAAAAAGTCACAGTCGTGCAGCGTTTGTGCGAGATTAGGGAATAGCTTAGCTATATAGGCTCTCGCAAAGCTCGTTCCTTTCCTCCGGCCAAACCAGCGAAAGGGCATTTTCAAGAAGATTTGAAAAGGATGCAACCTTGAAAAACACGGAGCACCCGCAACCACTCCCCAACTAAAAATTTAGACCGAGAAGGCAAGGGTGGGGTGGGGTGGGGTGGGGTCTTGACTCTGCGTGGAGGCGTGAAATGGACAGTGGGTAGCAGAAATTAAGATTGTCTTTTCTCGGGCAGACTCTAGCGAAGTAGCCCAAGATGCCTTTCCAAGACTTCATGGTGGGGAGGAGGAATTTGACCATGTCGTTACTCATTGCAGGTCCCATCCATTCGCGAAGCTCCAGGACTTCGGAATTTCCGGTGTTTCTTTTGAATTTTTTAAACGAGGACGACGAGAGCATCCCGACCCATCTGCAGAAATCCATGGCCTTTCTGTCCTAACCAACTCCCATTCAATTATTTCCTCTCTCGCGCGAATGAATCGCGTTGAGACTTTTCTTTAAACAAAAAGGCTCGGTGTCAGGTGAGAAAGCGCTCGCCAATTGTCGCATCCCCACGTTATGGAGCGACGCGAGACATGACAAGAACCAGCAGCGATCCGAGTGTCGGCGTCGGTCCCATTCACTCGGGGCACCCGCGCTCGCGGCTCGCCTCCTGGCCTTTTTCCCGACCCGTGGGTCGCGCGGTCTTCCTCCGTTTGAACACGCAGTTCAAGATCCTCCTCCGCACGCCCACAATCATGCATCGCGCGAGTACACGTACGTAAGGGTGCTTCGGACACGATCTCCATCGGAGGGACAGACGGAGACCGCGCGGGGGTTTTCAGCTCCGTACAGTGTAATGTCATGTCCATGAAAATCAGGTGAAATTAATTTTAACCACGCAAGAAACATTGTGTCTTGTGTTCACCATGATCATGTGTTTTTCGCCGCAACCATCTCTATTCGCGCTAAGAATCGGGACTAAACTAACATAATTGAAAATTTTATGACTGGATTAGCATACGTGCAATAAATTTATGACCAGTTGGGCGATTTTTCCTTCAAAATAATAATATCTTTTGGTAAATAGAATGTTATGCTGGTTATATCTGCCGGGCAAAGAGAAGGGCTTTTTATCTGCCGGAAAATAATACATATTTTTTAATTGTATGGATTTTTTTAATGTTTTTACCTTTTTACCATTTGTTGTGTGAGTTGTGAAAATTTCATGTAAGGACAACAAATGGGGCACACCACAAAATGGAACCAAAGATAGTTTTCCAGTTATACATGGGTCCCTTTACCAATTGAGGATATCACGATATCATCAGAAGAAACAAATGGGGATCATGTGACTACCAAAAGGTGTCACGCGTCAACGTGTAGAGAAACAATAATTTAGGATGGTTTTGATCATCATAACCTAATTTTTGTATATTTATTTTCTTATTACCTATAACAACTAGGCGGCTTGTGATCTTTCCTTCATCTTTTTCTCCAAACCGCCAGCACACTGTTCATATGTCATCGAAAGGATAATCAGCTAATCGGTTCATACTATTCCTAATTCGGACCTCGCACAACAAGATTGTGCGACTCCATACTTCATGATTGATTGGGTGGATGATCACGGAATGCTCCCGGAGCGCCTAATAAAACACGATCAAGACTTGATAGTAACTCGGTGATTTTCGCCAATGTGTGACACTGCTGATATGGGGAAAAATTGCCCTAGTTTTTCATATTATATGGATCATTCTGAGTATATCAAACTCAAATTGCCATGAAGCGGCAATACGCCAAAAAAGTTCAAGAGACAGAGAGCCCCTTGAAGGGGGTCGTTCCATCCTTATTTAGTCTCTCGTGACCATTAATGGGGCCTAGGGGACCGAATTCGATTAAGGGTCTCACCACTTAGAACTAGGTAAGGCCGACCAGGGCAAACTCACCCAGATCATACCCGGAGTTCCGATGGGCCGTCTTTGATGGCAAAGGAGGGCCGACAACCCTTGCATGACCATCGGGAAACGTTACCGGCCCTTACTAGTGGCCGAGACGGCACTCCTCCTCCCCCCTACTTTCTTTGCCTCTCATGTCACTCTTTTTCTGATTTTCTCGTCATACGGCGTGCCCACTTCAACACCCATATGCTAATTTTGATCACATCATATCTATCGTGTCAAGAATATAGATTGCATGAAATGGAAGGACTCAATTGCAAAAAAAATATTACGAAGAAGGAAACTCTATTACCAAAAAAAAACAAGTCAGATAACCCAATAACACATTTCAACAAGAGTATGGAGAACAAAAATGGACTTAACCATTTTCTTATCAAAACATGTAAATACCAACACACCAAGAAAATTAAGGATCCGTCGGTCTCACGGAAAATCAATCGCAGATAACATCTTCACCATTTCCCGAAGATGAGCCAACTGGAAAATTGGTCCTAGTTGCGTCGAGTTCCAAACTTGCCCCACAAAAAGAACCACCTACTCATCATCTGCGCTCATGCTTCCAGGCATTCCATCCCCCGTCCCACAATCCATCCAGACATCTTCACAGGCTAGGCATTGTTCCTAACCAGCTTTAGAGTGAAATTGCTTCAGGTGAAGATTGTAACTCAAGAATGTCAGGTCCTGTAATTCCTCTTGATCCGCACGGTTTCTTGCACCGTCCAGAAGCTTCTCGGCCATGTCCTTTTTTAGCCCGTACTTTGAAGAACCGTCGCAGGTCTGACTAAAGATCCGGATAGCAAACCTCTGCAGCTCAGGGCATTCTCCTCCAAACCTAGACCACCAGTCCACTGCACCCAATTCGGCCCAAAGTCACATTAAGTATCTTTGAATACAGCATTATTAGAACAAGAAAAGCTCACAAGCAAGATGAGGGATTGTCCTACCTGGGGAAATGTTCCTTTGGGCAGCAGCACTCCCCTCTGCAAAAGCACCTTCAGCGTGTCGGTAATTGTCAAGTTGAAACGAGATTAAGGCATGAGTCTCACGATCATGAGCCATCAGCACCATGCAACACAGGAGGCCAAAGGCCACCTCTCCGTCGCAGTAAAAGTCACTCGAATAAAAGAGACTTGGGTTCAAAAAATATCCAGCAGCATGGAGTGGGCTGTGTAGATCGGTATTCCAAACCTCATCAATTATTTTCCAGAAGGGCATGTACATGGACTCGTTCTTCTTAAACTCGTTTCTAATTGTTTCTTTCACCTGATCCATAGTTTCATATAGGTACGCCGCATGCGGTATATCATCCCTGCGAATGAAACACAGTAAACGCAACAATGGCACCGTTGCCTTTAAGACCATTCTGGCTCCAGACCAGAAAGAGGGATTATTTATCAGGTCCGCTACCTTCTTTCCCTCCTCGCTCGAAGCCAGAACTGAGGTGCTCCATGTGGATGACCGGAACATCTCCCTCAATTTCTTCTTTCCCAATACAATATTCTCCAATGTCATATATGGGATAGCTGACATTATCTTCTGGGGCTTGATAAGTTCATGGCCAAGGGTTTGTGTGCTCGTTAGTTCCAAGCCAGCTGCGTGAGTGTGGATGAACTCTACGAGAGTCTTGGCCTTCTCCATCACTCCTGTGACAGAACTCATCATCCCAATCTTTTCCAACATGAGTTCGATGCAGTAAGAAGCACTCACACTCCACAAAGCTGTCTTGTATCTTTCTATGAACTGCCTGCTTGCATCCTCCAGCCAACTCTCCGATGACCACGCCACGACCTGAACAACATTGTCAAGTCCAGCCTCCTCAACTACTCCATATAATATTGACAGAAAGGCATCAACATCACCAACACAAGAAGAAACATCAGTTGACGAGAGATAAATGGGACCTCTCGGGCAGTCTGCCAAAAAGTTGATTAAGGTCCTGCCTTTCTCATCTATCCATCCATCCAGCAGGATGCTGCACCCCGTAGTCTCCCATGATTGCCTAACCGTTTGGACATACTGTCTCATTTCTTTCACTTCTTCCTGAAGGATCGGGCCTTTCAACTCTTGGTAACTGGGGATCTCGTCATCGCTATGAGCATTGCCAACCATAGCATTCATCATTTCCTGGAAGCTAGGAGAATTGACAGCATTAAGATCAATACCATTTTCATAGAAGAATCGGCCAACAAGTCGGGCGCGCATTGACGATCTGTACTCTTTGCCTTCACTAAATGTCCTCTCCCATAAACCTACGTCTTCTGAAAGTGGAGAAAGGTGTTCCGAACCATCTTCTGATATGCTAATTATCTCTTCGCTCTTCCTTGAACCTGCACTTTCGGTAGATTGACTCTTTCTTGGTGTGCAGCCATTCGTGCCTGGGCCCCTCTTTCTCTTCGAGGGAGTCTCTTGTGTGCCCAGATTAAGGACTTCCCTATTAAAAGCCTTGTTACTCGCGTCTTTTTGTTCAAGTACCTTATCGTGAAATAGTTTCTTTGTATCTGCGGGAACTTCTGTGCAGGGAATCACGTCTCCCCTCACGCCTGCCAAGTGACACTTGAGACGGAACTTTCCGCTCACTACCTTACCACAGTAATTGCACTGGACTTTCCCTCTCATGCTGTCGTGGATTGTACAGTGAGCTTCGAGGTCGTCGGAGGCCCCACTGCCACTGGCAGCCATTTACGCAAAGATTGTGATGACAAACCCTGACAATCAGTGGCAATGAAGTCAGGTGGTTTAGGAAATGTGTACATGGCACACAACATTCTGTCACATATTAACTACCAACAAAGACAGATATGCATGCATTAACTGCTAACAAAGAGCTTGATACTACCTCAATCCTTTCAAAAAAACCAAACATGACAAAACCGTTTCTATTGATTGATGCAAAACCAAACTGTTTCCCGACATTACAACGCACCAACAGCACCCCCTAGGCCCGCCAGCGATCTGAACAGCACTTTTGCCTGGTGGAAGCCCACGCCACCTCGGTCCCCCAATATTTCTTAAAACTAAGGCAAAAATTTTTGCAAGGAAAATATAATATTTTAGTTGAAAATTTATCTTTTGGCAACCCCCACCAACGCCAAACTCTCCGTCAGCCGTTGATTCAGCTGATGACAAAAAAGGGGGCAAACTCGTCATGTTCAACGGCAGAAATTAAAAGACAGCGTCGGTCATTTCGTGTTTCTTTTCGGGAAAAGAAGCAGCCAAAAATGGCCACACGCGGACAGACAGACACGGGTTCAACTCCGCCGGTTGAACCGGACCGTGGTCGAGATACAAGCCGCGAGACGTCGACATCGTCAGGGGAGTCCAGTCATGCCGGACGGTACCCGGAAGACAAGAAAGACGGGACCCGATCAGCCCACGGACGCAAACGCAAGTGATCGGCATCCAGAAAGACAAGAAAGACGGACCCCACTTCTTGGCGAAACAGCACGAAGTCAGAACGAGCACCAAAACGAAAACTTTCCCACCCCCGCGGCCACCACCTCACCCCCGTGCTTTGCTTTTTCCGAAACAGAGTGCGCGCTTACGAAAACAGGGGAGCTCTTCTACCCAGCCAAACGGAAAAAGGAGACAAAAACCAAACGATCAAGGGGTCAGACGAGATCAAGAGGAGACTGTCACCTTTTCTCTCTTGAAGGGGTTGCCGGAGAAACGGAGCAGCAGCCGGCGGAGAAGGAAACTAGCAGAGAGCGAGAGCTGTGATCGGAGAGAGCATGCAGGAGAGAACAGAGGAAAGCCAGCGACTGAGCGAGCGACTTTTGAAATAGGACTTTGCTTGCATGACAGCACCGTCACCCTCGACGAGCGACGGTGCAACTTGAGCCGTCCATTTTTATCTGATCATGACCGGCAACCGGATGTTAATTTGCTGTGGAAAGTCACTGCTTTTGCATGTGTGCAATATTTTAAAAAACTCTGACCAAAAAATATATTAAAAAAAGAAAACTTTATGGTAATTAACTGCAAAAATTTGATGGTGAAATACTGGTCCAAAATAAAAATAACTGAAATTTAACTTTCATAAATAAAGAAAATTAAATATCCAATATGCAAATTATATAGATAGATGTATATTTATATCGACTTTCAATTTTTTTCAAAGTTTTTTTTATTTGTTAAGATACACATGTTACAAACTCTTTTATTTGCATGCTAAAACCCAAGTTAGCCTTTTTTTTTTTAAAAGAAATTTACTTATCTCTCTTGATCTAGATTTTGACAATTAGTAGAAAAGAAAAATAGAATTATAATGTGACGTAGGAAGTAAAATGAATATAAATCGTTTCATACCAGGGATCACAATTTCCGATACAACAAAAAAAAAAGACTTGAATATGATATGAACTTATTGAGAAATTCAATTCTAAATTGAACACTATATAAATCACAACATGAAATGACACTAATAATTAATACTGATCTAATAACATGAGACGATTTGCCACCGTATTTCATCCTTATAAGGCTGCGCATGGCAACCATTCTGTGCTCGGGAACAGATTCTGCTCAGAAATAATTCTTTTTAATTCTGTGCCCGGAAACAATTATAAGCATTTGAAGGCGTTTGGTAACTGTCAAAAATTTCTATTATTAGAATAGAAAAAGAACAGAATTGCGTTTGGTTACTACACAAAATTTCTTTTTATTAATAATATTTTGAATTTTTTTAATATTTCTTTCTTTTTTTCTTTTTTTTTCTTTCTTTCCCTTCCCTTCCTTGGCCAAGGTTGGTTGCCGGCACCGGTGACCAGCCACAGGCCAGGGCCGATAAGGGCGTCACGGCCCTCGTCGTCGCCCTCGCTGGTCGTGACGGCGAGGTCGGCCTCGCCTTGGCTAGGCAAGGCCTTGCCGTCGCAGCCGCGAGACGCCCTCCCCGGTCGCTGGCGGCAGGTCGAAGAATAACAACAAACCAAAAAAAAGAAGAAAATCAAGAAGAATCAGAAATGGAAAAACTGTTCCGGAATCAAGAAATTACTTTTTTTTGCTTCTTGATTTTGTTCCAAAACTGATTATGGGAACAATTTTTTGCAAAATTATGCCCGGGCACAAAAAATTTAACAAACGGATTTCAGCTCCAAAACTGATTTTGGGAACAAAAGAACAGAAATTGTTACTATTTGGCAAGTTGCCAAACATGCCATAATTATCAAAATTCGACAATTTTTTTTCTTTAGGCTTTCTTTTCCTTTTTTTTAATCATGGAACTTACTTTTATTTACTCCCACTCATTGTAATTTTCTTGCCTGCAAAACAATCCAACCAAATAGTATTTGTTTCCTAATGTTGTTTTTTAATTCTTCATATTGAGATTTTCCAATTCTAATCTTTCCAAGCGAACCGGTTAAACAAGTTAATCGGTTTCCTCGGAAAAATTAGTATAAAAAAAGCCACCATCTCTTTTTTATATTTCACGGTACGGTTAGCGTAGCATTTTCCCAGAAAATGAAAGTGGCATTAAAAGCTTTGGCTAGAGTTTACACTATCAGCATTTCAAATTTTTTTGGTCATTTTTCTTGGTTTGCGTCGGCCTTAAAAAGAAAAATCGTTAATTTCTCAAAAAGAAACCAATCCGATTCAGTTGCCCTAAAAAGCGTAACGTATTAATTCAGCCTATTACGGCCGTTGATCATGTAATGTGAGGATCGAGGGTTGTGATGGAACCGGGCTAGACCTAGAACCGAGCAAGCATGTCTCTAGAAGGTGCTCCTTCAATCTCTAGAATTTTTTTTTTTTGATTTTTGGTATGGTCATGGGATGGAAAACTTATAAATTTTATTGTATGGCACAACACTCCATATAGAAATTAATACAAAATACATGTTCTTACGAATTAGAAGCACTCAATATTGATATATCTGTGAAGCATTTGGTTTCATATTTTATTTGGATTTTCTTTTTTGATTTCAACTTTATTTTGTTGGTCTCTTGTAAGAGACTCGTGTCCAGAATCACATGCCTTAAATAGGGTGACACGACTTGAACCAACACGAAATTAAAGATTTGGGTTAATACCACGAAGATATCAAATTGATTCACGTATGATAAATTATTGTAAACTAATTTTTTGATCATAAAAAACTCCAAACTAGTACAATTGTGGTAAATTTATCCTCCATTAAATTGAATTAATATTACGAAAAATCATAAATTGGTAAATTTGTGATAAACAGAGGGGTAAAACCCTAAAATGGTATACCCGTCAACTACCAGTGTCATCCAACTTAGCAATTTGATGGTAAAATTTAACGGAAACTTATGGAGGGTAAATTTATCACAATTGTACCGGTTTGGAGTTTTTGGTGGTAAAAAATTTAGTTTAAAGTAAATTTATCGCAGGTATACCGATTTTGAGTTTTTTTTTGTATTAATCCTAAAGATTTTGGGCTAACATTAATGTAGTTTGTGTCACAAATTGTGTCAAACTCGTAAGGCACGATTAATAATGTTTGAGTCCATTCCTTGTAACTCGAAATTGATCCGTTTTATCTTTTAAATAAATTAGCCAGGCCTGCTTGATTAATGAACTGACTACATTGACCGGTTCAACTAAAATTAGCTTAGATATTTTCTATTATTTGCAATTGCGACTATATCATAAGTGAATGCTTTTTCTTTTGGATAACCGAGGGTACGGGTGCAAAGACTCAGCTATTGGAAATCCATCAACGCCTTATAAACCCCACAAACCGACTACAATTAGACTTTTGGGTGGTGCAAGTGACTTTAATTTAAAGCGATTTATGTGCAGTTCATGAGATTTGAACGAATAACCACTGATTTATGAGATGATTATGGATCCAATGGAATTAATAGGTATAGGAAGAAGCCCCGTCAAATAGAGATTATTTGCGTCAACCAACTGCACCTATACCAGCGGGTTGAGTGAATATTGATATCGACCTCATTTGACCTATTTAATTAAACCAATTGTGCAAATCATGCTCGGATTACCAATTTATGAAAAGGGGTCGTGTTCGAGTTAAAATTTCTGTCGCGATCATCAAACAAGTCGTGTTCAAAAGATTTATGACTAAATTGACACAATTAAAAGGTTTGGGGCTAAATTGGAGAATTGTCAAAAGGTTTAGGACTAAATTAGCACAATAGAAAGGTTTATGATAGAATTGGCCGTCGTGTAATAAGTTTAGGACTTTTTGGATAGTTATCCAGGGGTAGAGGCGGCGTATGCTATAGAGAAGGTCTGGGGATGATGCGATGGACATACCAATTACATGCATCCGGTCCATATGAAGCTAATGCATCCGGTCCATATGAAACGTAACTTCTCATCTCTGTCTTACCAAAAGAAGCACCTCGGTCAATGCACGAAAGTTAAGTTGAATTAGATGTTTTTGTAATGCCAATCACCGTATGTATCTTTCTATAAACTTTTGGAAATTAAGGAGAAAATAATAGATATGTAATGTATTAGTATTTTATCGTTTTGAACAAAATTTCTAATAATTCAGACATAGTTAAAAAGATCGAGACACTACTCATATAAATTGATAAATTACTTATCGAATGAAGCTAGCTAAAAACTGGAAAAACAGTTTTTTTTTTCATCGGATAAGTTTGGCAGCACATCGGGCCCGTTTGGTTCGGCTTTTCAAATGCAATTTGGGGGAATGCAAATACCTTTAGGTGAAAGCCACTTGGGAAAATGCAAGTGGTGTTTGGTAAAAAAAAATTTGTGAAGCTACTTTGGCCTAAGTAGTGTTTGGTAAATTTTTTTTTGCAATGGGCTTTAGCAATTTTTATTCTTAATATTCCGGTTTTGCCCCTATTACTATTCATCTTCTTCACCGGCGAGGGTGGCCGGCGAGGTGGCCGGCGAGGCCGGATCTGGCCGACGAAGGCCCGGCGAGGTCGCCTGACCTAGGCGACGGCCGCCTGGGGTCGGGCGACCGCCCAGGCGCCGTCGCGACCTCGGGCGACCGCCGCCGCTGGGTCGCGCGACCTCGGGCGACCGCCGCTGGGTCGCGCGACCTCGAGCGACCGCCGCCTGGGTCGCGCGACCTCGGGCGACCGCCGCCTGGGTCGCGCGACCTCGGGCGACCGCCGCTGGGTCGCGCGACCTCGGGCGACCGCCGCCCGGGTCGCGCGACCCAGCGACCGCCGCCCGAGGTCGCGCGACCTCAGCGACCCAGCGAGCGCCGCTGGGTCGCGCGACTCCGGTCGACCGCCGACCCAGGCGACGGCGCCTGGGCGGTCGCCCGACCCCAGGCGGCCGTCGCCTAGGTCAGGCGACCTCGCCGGGCCCTCGCCGGGCCTTCGCCGGCCAGATCCGGCCTCGCCGGCCACCCTCGCCGGCCACGTGAAGAAGATGAACAGTGACAGGGCAAAACCGGAAAATTGAAATTTGAGTGAGGGCAATTTGGGAAGAAAAAATAAGCTTCAGCATTTCACAAATGCTGAAAGTCCAAAGCTGGTCCGGACCAGCTTTGAGCTTTCAGCATTCCAATGGCATTTCAAATGCTGGCTTTCGGCTTTCCGAGTCCGGAAAGCCGAACCAAACGGTTCAGCATTTTGGGAAGGGACTTTCGAGGCCGAAAGCCCCTTCCCAAAGCTGAACCAAACGGGGCCATCGTAGGTGAGAGTAGCCTTAGAAGCTACTCTTCCTTAAGTATGGTTAATAAATTCTCAACTTACCATGTTTAATGAATAAGGATGTTCCATTTTATCTTTACAAAAAAAATTGCCATGCATATTGATCATAGTCCATATAAATCGTCAAAATACATGGTTGGCTTTTGGTTTTTTTATGCACTTTCTTATGAAAGAAAAAAAAACGATGGATTCAATTTGAGTTTCATGTGAGTCTCATTAAACTCGATCTAAAGGTACAACATCATTATAGTTCATGTACCAGTTTCAACAAATAATTCCTTATATATCAGTCATTTATCCTTCCTCTTTTTGGTTTAATTATAGGTTTAATTAGAGACTAGAAAAAGAAAGAGGTCTAACTAGAGATCCCCTTTTCTTTTCCGCAATTGAATCGCATGCTCAATCAGCATTTTCCCTGCTTTTATGTTGTTTTCATATGATTGAGGTATTAATACTCCAATAACTCCTGGTTTAACCTGCATCTTAGTTGCCCCTTCATAATTGATTCCTGCAAGAATTTTTCTTATTCAGCTCGTGATTAGAGTAAACTATGTTATGAGGTTACAAACGTCTACAGAAAATACTTGAGAAGTACTCTTCACATGTGACCCAGTGGGTGCATTATGTGACAAGCATATCATGTTATTCGATGTATTAATGTATAAGTAGTAGCACCTGCCTAATGGTACGCGTATCGTCGTAGTTTCGATCAATCCACTCACTACTTGCTATATGTACTAAGAAAGAGTCCGCCAAATGAGTTTGGCAGCAATACATTTTTAAAATGTATATTTTAACTGCCTACAGATGCTGAAGAATAAGTAGTGTTCATTCAAGCAAATTCATTAAACAACTCGTCTACAAGAAATCAATAAAATTTACAGGGGTTTAAGGAATGAGAGGACTAGCGACTTTGAATTTGAGTCACCTCACTTGGATTCTCAACAACAGCCTCGTCGGAAACTGAAGTGGATTCAGCCTTTTCATCCATCCGAATCCTCTTCTGCTGGCACTCATGTGATTCGATGCTGCTGTTTTCACTAGCCTTGTTCTTAAGTGATAGGACTCCGGGATTGTATTTGGATTCAGCTGGCCCAGGCAGCGAAGCAGCAATGGTTGGAGAAGGCGGTAGCAGTTCACTTTCTGGGTATGGATCCTCTGAGGAAGACATCTTTTGAGGGCAGGTCAGGACGACACCAGCTTTCTGCTGTTCCTCCAGAATCTTTTGCAAGTATCTCGCATGATCTTCTATGCGTAACTGAAGTGCTCTTTGCACCTACATTAATGTGTGTAAAGGCAGTGAGTAAGATCTATCTGGCATCAACTGGAAAACAAAGGATTCCCCTACAACCCATCGTTAAGCATATGAACTACAATATAAATTCATAATATTCAAGAGAAGCCATTCAAATCCAATGAAAATGGCAGAGCAAGAACATCACAGTCCACGTTATAATATGTTGGACTACTCTTTTCCAACTCTCTTTTGTGTGTGAGTACAAAAATTTGCAGCAAAACTTAAGGACTAACAAATATCAATATGTGCCACTAAATTCGAGACATTGAAATACCTCAAGCTGCTCATGCAACTGTTTCTGAACTTCCATCTGCATGCGCAAGGCCTCTGTAATCTGCGTGCTCCTGTAAATAAGGGATACAGAGATTGAATTTTGTTTGACACCACTGGAGAAATTGAGATGAACATAGATTTATGCAGAGAGAGAGAGAGAGAGAGAGAGAGAGTATTGACCCTTTTCTTCTTCCATCACTTTCATTGCCACAAGACATTGCTTTCTTTTCCTCAAAGCTGCAACCTTTTTTCTCTAGCAAAGCAAAATAAGGAATAAAGGTTTGAACTACGAAAGATTCTATCTTATCGTTACTAGAGAAGCCACCGGCAAATAAATAGAAAAGCCTCCAACAGATAAACAAAAGACAGGAAGCTCAGTGTTCATGAGAAGCCAGTATGCAACGTCGTCTATATTCCTTATTGGCAAGGAAAAGCAAAATTCTTTCCCGTCACTCAACAGCATAATTTAGCTGAGACTTCAAAACACAAGGAGAAAGCCTGAGATGAAGTATACACATGCAAGAGAGTATGCAAGCTCCCCTTAACAGAAATATATAAACGCCTCAAGGACCCTTTTGGTAGCCACCGACAATCATAAGCAGACAACTATCCCACATTTTGTTTCATTAAGCACATATTGATCATTCTCAGGCTAAATGATAAATGATCAACTGATCCATCCCTCTCCTCGAATTTCACAGCAAACAAGCTATCAGACAAATTGGGAAGCTTGATTGTTCTGCTGCATCATTTAAGGTTATTGCAACCGGAACAAGTACATTAAGTTATTCTTCTCGTTCTGTTGAATGCACGGATAGATGTGGGTAATCTGATTGAGAGGTGCTTATTTGACAATTTAACCCATATAGACATATCAGCCGACATCAGAACTTGATTCTGTCTCTTTAGTCATGTATTCATGGTATAACTATTACCCCCTTTTCTCCATATCAATCTCGTCTCATCATCTCCATCTCCTATCAGTTTCAGCCAAGGACACCGCAGACTAATCTCCCGCAGCAAGTCCTCTGTCTCCGGTGCATGCCTTCTGCTACATTGCTTAAAAAATGAACATAAGTGTTTTTATTTTTAAACTAAGAAAGTCCCAAATATGACATCCAGAAAGGACATGATAACGTAAAATAGCCATGGAAGTGAGAATTTGGGATTGGATAGATTGGATGGCCCACAGCAAGCATTTTGGCTAGTGGGGAGTATTCGAAACCCATACTTGTAGGCTTTTCCATGTCAAGCACAGAAACTACTAGTTGTGTTTTCTAAATAGAATGAAACCAGAAGTCAATAATAGCATTAGTGTATTCAGTAGCTGTTCCATATAGCCAGCAACTATGAATTGCAAATCCACATAACTGACGTGAACAGCATAGATGTAACATGGGCAGGAGGGCAACATAGCAGTTGTGAATGATGGGAACTATGAACATCGATGAATCATACCTTCCTTTTTCTCTGGCATGTACTTCGCTAAACGGTATTTCTGCAAGACATATGGAAGATTTATGTAAAATAAGATGTTAGCAGTGGACTAAAACACTTGCTTCAGTAGAAAATGCAAAATATATACCTGCAAGTGACTTTTTACATGGTAGATTGTCAAACCTTCAACATTCATAAGCTTCAATACTCCCTTAGGGGTAGCCTCTGCAAATCAGAGCAAACTAGTAAGAGTTGGATGACGAGTTTTAGTTTTTGGTACCAACATGGAGTTTTAAAGAATCTAGAAGCTCTTATTAGAAATAAAAGTTTCTTCTCTGAATAATCGAGTGGAAGCCCAATAACAAAGTAAAGACCAAACACATAGATTGCTCACTTTCAGCCCCATCAAGCTTATTGACAGCATCCACAAAACGCACATGAAGTTCTGGCGTCCATCTCATTCTTGGCTTGTGTGCTGCGGCAGGGCCAGAAGATGGCTGACTAGAAAGAGAATCAATGGCTGGCAATGGGGAAAGGCACTTTTGGTGGCAAACCAATCCCGTTCCTTGCTTCGATGGTGGTTGCCGTGCTTCATAGATATCCTGTGGGGAGAGAACATTAGTAACTAGGCACAGTTAGCGGATCGTGCAAAAGATCATACACGGCAAGGAAACAAAACATAGAGCTGCCCAAACCTCTACATTGCTGCTTGAATCTTCCCTTGTCCGAGAGAAACAACTAATTCTATTCAATTCCGTTCACATGGACAGTGAAAGCAGGCAAAAGGACAACGTGCACTTCTCATGCACAGCCAACCATACTATTGCTATAATTATTTATAATAATACCTAATGACCAAATCAAATCCAGTTATCAGCAACTAACTGCAATGTCTTCCATCATTCAGCAGCAGCTACAGATAAGCGGTCAGAAAGGGAAGGTACTGACCTAAAATTCAATTATTTCACTCACATCAACATATTTGGAATTGAAAACACTAGCAGCAATACTTGGTATACTTACGTCAAGCTTTGGGATTTCTCCATTCTCAGTTATAGCAAGATCAAGCTCATCGGACAAATACTGTAGCTCCAATTGCTCTGTTAGCATTAAGTTGTCACTTGCACAGTCCATGCCACTGAAGCTACCATCAGAAGTATCTCCAGGAAAACCCAAGAAGTCCGTCATAAGAGCCTCTGTATGTTTTTCATCATCCAAATTACTAATGTCCTCACTGAAGATAGATGAAGATTTTGAGTCAACAGCAGAAACAGATTGGTTGTATGCTGGAGGATGTGGAAGAAATGGCAGATTCCGTAGGTGCTTGTGGGCTTCAGAAGTTGAAGAAGATGACTGGTATAAGCTAGTACAGAACACTGAAGATCGTGAATATGTGCTCTTTGGAGTTTGGACATGAGAAGCCAGAGAGAGAGGACTACATGGGCTTGATTCTGAACAGGTTTTGTGAGATTGAAAGGTAGATTCTCGCGAAAGATTCAAACTGAGTGGTTCCTCCCGGATAAATGGGGATGGGGATGGGGATGAAGATGACCATCCACTGGCCTTGGAAATTCCTTCAGATTCAGCATTCAGAAATTGATGATCCAGGGACATCCCAGTGTAGTGGGAATTTGTCATCGCCTTGGTAGACCCACTTTGAGGTAACGTCATGCTGTGTCCGTTCATGGTTCTAAATCTGCTGAATCAACTTAATAGAGGACAGTGGTAACCTGTCAGAAAAATTAAGGACAATATGCCACAGTAAGAACTGAGACTTCACTTGAGTGATAGAATTACATAAATGGAAATAATACAAGAGCTTTTTGAAAGGGTAAAGAACAGTCTACCCATTCAAGGAAAAGTTCGTCTGCCGCCTTTCCACTCGATCAAAAACTACTAGTCATCTTTAGATAACTTGAGATACTTCAAATCTTCTTTCAGGCAAGAGAATGTGCACGATATTTGCTACAGAGATCAACCGCTCGTCCTTCTCATCAGAAAGTATCAGTAACTATGCACGTTTACCGACACTCTCGTCCGAGACGATACCTTCACAACAAACCAACAGTTCTCAACTGATTAGTTTTGCGAAATCTTCCTTTCACTAGTACAGCATTGATGTCATGCAATCAACTGCAAATTATAGCAGCACAAACAATATGCAGGGGGTGCCCCTAGTCAGCTGATAGGCTGTGTGTGAAAAACAGTGCCAAAAGAAAGAGATATTCGTAAGCCTAAAATACAAAGTCCAAGAATCTTAAAAGCAGCTATTGCAACAGAAACTATTGTAAGGTAAGCATTGAAAGAATTTATTTACATCTCTTTTCTGGTAACAGGAAGAAGGAGATGGTTACTCCTTAGCGACGCACGCCACCGCATTATTCCGACTCTCTCCGCTCTCGTTTAGTTGGCCGTATCTCTTCGGTCCGGACAACAAGAGCAGAACTAGAAACCGTGCAGACATCTATTTCAGAGCCCAGTTCGAGCTCCGACTAGAGGGAGAACTAAATAGATAGACTAGGCAGCTACCGGGTACACGAGCGACGATGACAATCCATAAAAAAATGGCATCTTGAGGCGAATTTTCGCGAAAGCCGGGACGAATCCTCGACGAGTACTTGACTAAAAGCAGAATACAATAAAATTTCACCACGAGGGAAGGGGGGGGGGGGACAAATTCATTGTAACAAAGTCCGTCTCTTTGCAATTTAATGAGATAGCATTGCCTAGAATCCCACAGCAGCTGAATCTCTCCAATTCAAATCCCAGTTACCTTTTTGAAACGAATCGAGCTTTTCAACAACTTATGTATTAGACGGTCAAGCCAAATTCAAGCACGTACATCAAGCCAAGATGGCGTGAGCAATTGACAGAGGCAGGGGAAGCTGCGGGTCACAAGTCTGAAATCGCAAGAGAATCGAAACTCAATCACTGGGCAGTTCCCCGTGTACCGACAACCCATCACCTCGCGCCGAATCACGCGCGAAACCAAAAGAATAGAAAGGGCCAACGGAGCTCGCCGTCGGCTTACTAATGGTATTGCCCGCTCACGGCGACGAAGAAGAAGGAGGAGAAGGAGAAGGAGAGCCACGTAACGAAAGGGACGAAACCATGGGCTCCGCCCGCACGACGGCGGATCGACGGCAGCCCCTCCCGAGCCGCGACCGTGACCAAAAAATCGGCGGCGAGGCACGGTTAAAAAAAAAACGGCGCAGGCGTAACTAGCGAAGTGAGTCAGATCCAACTCCCACCTGAGACAAGACGGGACCACCACCAGCACCACCACCACCACTGCCGCCTCCTCCTCCTCCTCCTCCTCCTCCTCCTCCTTCGTCTTCTTCACAGCATCACCGCGAGGACGAAGGGACGAAAGGGAAGGAATCTACGACGACGCGGGACGCGGACGCAGCCCATGCCGTCGTCGTCGTCGATGATTGATTGGTTTTATTTCGCTTGGGAGGTAACGTTACCATACCATGACCGAATATGGCGCACGAAATTATTAAAAAAAAAAACAACAACAAAAATAAAAATTAGCTTCTGCATCATGACGTCATAGATTCACATTTTTTTTTTGGGTAAAGTGAAATGGCCCTCGGTGTGGAATTACTTTTGCCTGTTTTGCGATGTAGAAAATACTATTAAAATTCGATTCTTATCCTAATTTGGGTTGTGCTTGCTGAGCTCGAGCAGCAGCAGCAGCAGCCTCTCTCCGCTTTTGTCTTTGGCTGCTACTTGCGTGCGCCGATCCCATCAATCCCCGTCGCCGTCAAAGGTCGGCTCCGGACCCATCGCCAGAGCCGCCAGCCCCCCCGGGCGCTCTGTCCGGGGGGGGGGAGGCTCCGGCACGCGCGACCCCGCCGGTAGCTGGCGTGGCCTCATCTGATTGGTTAGCTGGTCCGATTAATTTAATTTTAATATTAATATAATAATAAAAAAAAGAGGCTGCTCGGGGGTTGGCATCAGCCGTTCTGGCTGTTTCCCCGCCAAGATACTGGAATCCAGGGCTGAGGCCTCTGAGTCGTTTGGTGGGGTTTCTTTATTTATTTATTTTTTTAAAAAGTTAATTTTAATTAATATATAATTATTATGATCTTCGTCACTATTATACAAGTTGGGGAACCTTTGAAATTTAAGGTTGCTTTCTTATTATTTCCCCCGTGTTTTTGGGGGCTGTCCATGATTCCGCCGTTGTTTCCTAAGGCATATTTCTTAATGTTTTCACCGCGTGTTGGTGTCGCCAGCAATCTTGGCCTCCATCTGAAGTCCCTTTTCCAATATAAAGCGGGGCGACGAGGAAATTTAGTTTACGAGGGGGGGGGTTTAGAATACCGAACTGAGACGGTGCGCACGATGCAAGGATTTTCTATACGTAATTTCATAGATTACGAGATGCGATTCGATGAAAGCTGTTGCACTCAGCGGTTGGAAGAGGGCGAGCTCTGGAGTCCGTCCTTATCTCCAAAAAGGTTTTGGAGACGATTGCGTTAGCGCTCCACATCATCAGCAGCAAAAAAAATGTTGTGCGATTCCGCTTTATTTAGTGAATAAAAGGAACAAGGCGAATGATTTTAATGGGTTTTCATGGACCCAATTGAATGGAATGAAGCATGTGCAGATTAATTCGAACTAATATAAGGCTGCACGTGTCCAGACGGTCTTGATCCGATGACAACTGTAACGACCCGATTCGACTCTCGTGAATCAAGCTTCCGAAGACTACTACTGAAGGCGGCGGTAACCTTTGGATTTGGTGGTCTAAATGGTCTTTTTCTTGGGAGGATTACTTCCGAATCAATTCACAAAGGTCCATCATGCAAGTCGGGCCATCGCATAAGAACTTTCCTAGCCCCACCACGACGTGAAATAAACTTCATCAAGACTAGGAAAATGACCATCCAACGAATGTAAGCCATTCAAAATTTTCAATTTCGGCGGTAACTATGGTTGTCCTGTAATGATCACGTCTCCATGGGGGACCCAAAAGACAATCATGGACTCTTCTCCCTAATCCGATGCTTAACCTTAATGCAACACGAAAATGGGTAAAAAAAAACAAGAAAAAAAAAACCCTAAATAATAATGGTCTCGATCTCACCCCTCCCACTCGAGAAAATTGGGAAAAGTGCCAAAAAAGTCTTAAACCTTTTGCATTGATGCCAATTTAGTCCTAAACCTTTTTTTGGTGTCAATTCAGTCCTAAACCTTTTGTCTTTGTGCCAATTCAGTCCTTTCGGCCAATTTTGGCCGGATTTTGCTGACGTGGACGCTGACTGGCCGGCGACCGATCACCGGCGCTGACGTGGATATCTTTAATAATATTTTAATATTTTTTTGAATTTTTATTTATTTTTTTCTTTTTTTTTCCCTCCCCTTTCGCCGGACCGGCGACTGGCCAAAGCCCAGAGGCCGATGCCGGCGAGGCTTGCCCTCGCCAGCCACTGGCAAGGTCGACCTCGCCGACCATTGGCGAGGGCGGCCTCGCCCAGCCATGGCAAGGCTCACCTTCGCCGTCGCAGGTCGAGGGCGAGCCTCGCCGGCGGCTGGGCGAGGCTAGACCTCGCCGGATCTGGCGAGGTTGGGCCTCATCCAGCGCGAGGCCGCCCTTGCCAGTGGTCGGCGAGGGCGAGCCTTGCCGGCGCCGGCTGGAGGAGGGGAGAGGAAAAAAAAAGAAAAGAAAAAAATAAATAAAAATTCAAAAAAATATTTAAATATTATTAAAGTTGTCCACATCAGCGCCGGTGACCGGCCTCCGGTCGGTCGGCGTCCACGTCAGCAAAATCAGGCCAAAATTGGCCGGAAGGACTGAATTGGCACAAAAACAAAAGATTTATGACTGAATTGACACCAATGCAAAGGTTTAGGACTAAATTGACACCAAAAAAAGGTTTAGAACTAAATTGGCACAAATGCAAAAGGTTTAGGACTGAATTGGCATCAAAAAAAGATTTAGGACTAAATTGGCATCAATATAAAAGGTTTAGAACTTTTTTGGTACTTTTTCCCGAGAAAATTTATAGAAAATTTTTTTTAAAAAAAGGAAGGAAAGTAATCATGAAAAGAAGACAAAGCAAACTCGATCACCCCTACTTGAAGAGTGTGACCAAAAACGTGGGAGTCGCCATCTCCAAAAGCTACACCGATGTGCTCTTCGTGATAGGATTGACGAAGCATGCCAAATTTGACAAGCTATTGCCCCTCTCACATCATTAATACGATACCATCTTTCGCTATAAGGACATGAAGATCCCACTTCATGTTTTCGCGCGCGAGAATCGCAGAAACTCGCAGTTTTCAGGGAGCTGATCTTGAGATTAAGAGATCGGCGGTTAATCATCGCTGCTCGGTGCGTCTATTTTAATTGAAGATGCCCTTTTGATACGAAGCGCTACGGCGTCGTATCGCGATGATAATTTCGATTTGGGCTTACGTTGTGATATAGGACTCTGATGCGAAAAGTAGGTGCTGATATTGATATGACTCCATTCAAAGTGATAAGGGCAAAGGGGCAGACATAAGGATGGTGATTTTTCAAAAGGAGGTGGGGTTTGGATAATGAATGATTTCTGTTCTTTCCTTTTGCAATTTTTTTGGTCATATTTCCTTTTGCATTTTATGTAATACGTCATTGGTCCCCCCCCCAAAAATAATTTGTAAAGGTCACGGTAAACATACTCTCATCTAAT